AATAAAACCAAATTACCTTGTTACCCCCACCAACACAGTACCACAGTTTCTTTTGAAACTTATACCCCCGTTATTCGTATGTTACCAAAGTTTATTGTTGATGTCAATAGATCCAAATCCAGTGCAGATCATAGAGCCCGTTCCTGCACCAGAGTCTGTTGGTGAGGACGCCGCTGCCTTGAAAACACCATCACCTGGCATCCTCTCCAACTTTTCTTTCACAAATTTAAAGACAGAGATAAAGAACATAAGGTAATGGCTGAACTGATGTGATGGGGAGCTATTAAGCCCACGCTTTGAATCTTTTAAAGTTCCACTCGCAAGGCTCAAAATACAATTTCCTGGCTGGTACCTTTTTAAAGTTGTATAGTCAAACCTATTCCAAACCTATTCAGTTTTGCTTTGACACAACCTTTATTTCGCAGGCGCAACAAATATTCATTCAGAAGAGATTTCTTAAGACATAAAACTGTAAAAGCGAACGATAAAATCCGACGTTTCGGAATAGTCATGACTCCATTATCAAGGAAAGTATGAACGATCATGCAAATTTCAGCATATAAAGCGTTTTTGGCGCGAATAATTAACATAGGAGGGTGCGAAGATCATAAAAAAATATTATAGAAATACTTTCGCACGAATAAATGGAGTCTGACTGCACGTTAACATTTGGCTTTAACGCTCTTATAAGAAGCTTTCCGTGCACTAAGCAGTCAAATTTGTTTCTGCATTTCTTAAGCACTTTGAAACGCTTTAGCAGGTCTTGGGGCATTGTCCCGTGCATGTTCTTATAGTGTTTGACAATGGCGGAGAATTGTTGTTTATGTCCTTTTACACGATTATGTAAATGTGCTCGTGTGAATTTGACTGCTTAGTGTACGAGATGCTTTTTATAAGAGCGTTAAAGGCAATTCTTAACGTACAGTCAGACTCCATTCGTGCGAAAGTATTTCTATAATATTTTTTTATGATCTTCGCACCCTCCTATGTTAATTTTTCGCGACAAAAACGCTTTATATGCTGCAATTTGTATGATCGTTCATATTTTCCTTGATAATGGAGTCATGACTATTCCGAAACGTCGGATTTTATCGTTCGTTTTTAAATTTTCATTTTGCCAATGATTTCAATAAATCCTTGTACCCTTCTAAAATTAGTATGTTTATCACGCTTTTATTGTATATGCAGCCAGGAACTGTAGGAAAACTGATAAAGACATATTCAAAACCTGAACTTGAACTCAAAGCTCGGAATTAAATTCTTCTCTACACGGGTAAACAGTCTTATTTTTGACTGAACATTGTCTGTTCACCGGCCCTTACTTCAAGCTTCATGTAGATGGTCAATACTGTCTGTCACAGCTTGGAATGCTGTGGTAGGGCAGTATAAAATACAATTAACTTGAACTACACTCGCTGAGTACATACATTCCTCGTGTTCCGTACTTTTCAGATGCCTTACACTGCACATGCCTCCGTTACGCAGTTTGAAAGTCACGATATTTCAGGCAGGACTGAGGAGAAAATGCAAAAGAGATGTGAACATTATAATTTTTCTATCTCTAATCTGTAGGGTTTTCATTAAATGGTTAAAGATGGGAGCAACAGATGTAGAGGACAGGAATGAATGCAGGATGCCAAAATTCCCCTCTCCCTTTCCCCC